CTGGCTAGATGGATGGATTGATGACTTGATTGATGACTTGATGGATGGATGGATGGATGGATGGATGGATGGATAGACTGATGGGTGGATGGATGGCTGGCTAGATGGATGGATTGATGACTTGATGGATGGATGGTTGTTTTATTCTCATGTTCTTGCATGTAAAAACGAGATGATGTTGAGAAGATCCTAAGCCATTACAACAACTTTATGACATCACATCTCTATATATAACTTTGTGTTTTAATTGAAAAAGCACGTTCAAGAGTTGTAATATAAAAATGTAATTTCAAAACTTGACACCTTTCATCAGATTGTGTTTAATCCTGTGTGTGTAGTTAGAAATTAATTTGAAATGTTGCTGTTTTTATGATGTGTAAACATTTTACATTTGAACACTTTGAAAATACAGTTAAACCCCTTCAAACAGTTGTAGCTGAGCACTTGAACCACATTTTAATAAAACTATTGAAAGTGTCATGGAGACTGGACAGACATTTAATAAAGCCAGAAACAAAATGTCCCCATTTTTTCCAATATTGATGGTTAATGCATCTTGAAATAACAAATTTCTAAGCAGAGCTTGTTACCAACTACGATGTGTTTCGTGATGGAAACCACACCTGAATCAGTGTTCAGTCTGTGTAGATGAGGCTCAGTCTGTCTCTCACATCTGGAAACTGGAAGTTTACTTCATACATTTTATTTTATTATGAAACAGTTTAAGCTCTATCAGGTTGATGGGGATCAGGCATGAAGAGCTCTTTTCAAGTCACGCCACTGATTCTCTATTAGATTTAGGTGTGGGCTGACTCGGCCACTCCGGTACATTCACCTTGTTGTCTTTAAACCAGTTCTGTTCAGTCTTCACTGCATGCTGAAAAATAAATCTTCTTTCAGGCTGTAGTTTATATGCAGACTGCATCAGATTGTCCTCCAGGATTTCCCTATATTCTACAGCTTCATTTGACCCTCTACTCATACAAGCATGTCAGGGTTGGCTGCTGAGAAGCCTCCCTTATCATGATGCTGCCACCCCTGTGCTTCACAATGGGGATGGTGAGTTTGTGATGTGCAGTGTTTGGTTTTCATGATGGATCAAAAGATCTAATTTGGTCTCATCAGACCACAGAACCTTTTTGCAGTTGACCATCTCATGCTGTCTGATGAACTCTATACAGATTTAATCAGTTTTCTTTACCCCTGGGTTTCTGCTTGGACTGATGAACATGGGCAACAGTTAGTATATGCAGAGTCTCCCATCTCACCTGAAGCTTGGAACTCCTTCAGAGTGCTCACAGGTGTCTTGGTGGTCTTTGTTACTGGTCTTCTTTATGGACTGTTACTCAGTTTGTGATGAAGGCCTGTTCTTGGTAGACTTACACGTGTCCCATATTCCTTCCATTTGTTGAACCAGAACTCCTGGGGATGTTCAGGGCCTTAGAAATCCTTTTGTATTCATCCACTGACGTGTACTTTTTAATATTATTTTCTCTGAGTTGCCCAAAGTATTATTTTGCCTTCATAATGTAATGGTTTCCAGTAATAATGATCAGCCATATAGACCTTTCAGAAACAGGTATTCTTGTTCTTCAATGACTTGAGACACATCCACTGCCCTCAGGATATTATTTTAAAAGGGAGTGAATATTTAAGCAATCACTTATTTTGCATTACATATTTTTTATTTAATTGGCATTACTTTGTAGAAGATGGTTGCCACTGAAGAGGGTTTCCTTGATTGAGCTCTAACCACTGCTCCCATCATGCCGCCCAGTCTTCATGACACTGACAGAGAGGTTGTTAACCTGTATCTATAATAAGCTGTTACACTTTTTGTTGTAATGTATTTTTAACACAAGCATGGACAGCAGCTGTAATGACATCACAACCTGCAATATGTGTTAGTGTACAGCACTTTGGCCAACGGTGTTGTTTTAAAGTGCTTTATAAATAAAGTTGTATTGTATTGTAATATGCTAAAATCATGAACTAATGTTACCTTCTAACAATCTCTTTTACATAACAACTGTTTTTAGGGTTGTTTTGTGTGTGTACACAGTATGAAAAGACGCTTGCTTTACATTATGTACCATTAACAGGTTTCATGTAAAAATATATATTTTATCTAATAATTCCTCAAGTTCTGCAGCTCTCAAATAGAAGAAGATGAACTCTAGAGATATCAAAGCCTCTTTATTGTCTTCAGTCAAAGAGCAAAGAGGGGGAACTGGAAATACCCTCCGTACTTCCATTTGTTTGCCCCTGAGCATAACTTAAAAAATAAGTGAGCTATTAACTTCCATTTTAATGTGTGGCTACATGTACAGCGTAAAATGTTTCCCATTCAAATATTGGGCTGCTACATCAAAACTCAAGATGACCACCACCATATATACCGACCGGTGCTAGTAAACCAGCCACCCCAAACATTTAAATAAACTTTGCTTTCTAGTTTTTATATTGTTTGAAAGTATAATATCCCCAAATGATTTGTGTGGCTCGTGGGGTGGCCAAAGATTAATCTATGGTGACCAAGGCCACCATTGGCCACCCACTAGCTCTGCCATTGCACTTGGTGTTGGATGAAATGACTCCCTCCGCTCACCATGTTCCATCCCTCTGTGCTACCAGGGACAAGCAATAAATAAATAAATAAATCTACTCACTTAAGAATCTTGCACCAAAAACATTAAGGTTTACTTCATCCCCTGTTCAAATCAAGTCCAGAAAAACACTAATTTCAAAACCTACATTCAATATTCCAACCCCTCGATGATGGGGGACATCGGCATAACGCTTGTTGAGTCTGTAAACTACAAGAATGAGCTGCAGACTGTAGGCCACAATGCATTATGGTCTAATGTAGCAAATAACTTCTGTATACCACTTTTACCCTGTGACAGGTTTCTAAAGCACCATGTGGAGCATGAAAGAACTGGAAAATGTTTAAATACTACAAAATGGCCAAATCACTACATGGTGAACTGATGAATAACAAGTGGATAATTAGAACACAGCTTGAGTCTGAATTCCAACTTTTGGGGGCATTTTCCAGACAATTGCTACGATTTCTGACCAATTAAATGTGCCGCATATCCTCAAACTGAGCTTGCTCAAAGAACTATCTACAACAGGTAAGATATTAACATTTCATAATCATTCCACTAAATCTTAATTCTTAAGATCTATCATGGACCTAAATGACCTTTTCTTTGTATTCTCTGCTTCTTAAACTTTTATTCCATCTTTGTTTACAAGAGTAACACACGAGTAAGATTTTTATGACTAGATATAATTGAACTGACACCATCAATTAAGTAACAATTTTGCTAAAAGTAAGATTAAAGGTGTTCCCCTTAAAGTCAAAAAATATAAAACCTGAACAGTTTTTTTTCACATGCTTATGATTAATGTGTCTTTAAATGAAAATATTTTGTTGCAGAAGAGCAGAGCAGCCAAATGGGAAAGAAGCAACATTTTCAGGCAGATCTTGTGAGTGGTTGCCAACACCTGTTTATTTACCTACAGAAATGACTGAAGAGACTAAAGAAGGTCAACAGTGGTGTGGAACGCCATGGCACATATTTACGCTCAGATTTGTTGAGAAAAATGTGCAGATAAAAGGAAAGGTTGGGATAAAACAGGAAATGGACCAGTCTAAAAGCAGCGTGTTTGAACGCTGAGCTCTGTCTATATTTGACGCTCCATCACCCTGCTTGAAACCTCATATATTCATACTTGACAGCTGTCATTTTTATTTATTTAGCTAGCAATTAGTAGCAGACTTAATCAAGTATTTTTCACTTAAACATCTTCTCAAAGACTCTAGGCATGTCTGATTCTGTCATATTTGTTTACCTTCAGGCTACTGTCAGGTCAGTGGTTCTGGGCAAATTCAGCTGAGTGCTTTGTTTACATCTAGTGCAGACCCGCATTTCAAAATTGTGCGTCAATACATCTGGAAAACTATCGTAGTTAACTCCTTCAAGCTGCACCATTTGATACAGTACAGGATAAACTTTTAAACGTCTGAGTTCAAACTCTTCAATGTGTATCTTTAAATGTGGAAATACAGGAAAGTAAAGTTGAAAAGAACTTAATCAGAGTTCAGATATTTAACAATTATTCTGCTGGGTGAAAGTATTTATTTAAAGTGTTTATCCAAATATTCTGCATGATTATAACAGTAGAAGCATAGAAAGTATCAGCAGATTAGATTAGACAATGTGACACATTTCTGACTGAAATTTGCTGCAAACGACAAAAAAGGATATAAACTTCCACACTGCCAGCATTAAAGTTCAGTTTATTTCAAATGCCATCAGTTTAACAGTTCATGTAAGATGTCATGTAGAAACCACAGCTCAGAGGCTTGTAATATATTTTTATGCTGAGCAGCAGGGCTGGGGTTGCTCACGAAGAACTGCAAGATGACTGATAAGTTATCACGGAGGCCACAGACCCCGAAGCATCCACCTGCTGCTGGCACCACCACTCTCATCCTCCCTGTCAGTTAGTGAGCGAGGGCCTCGCTGTGCGCTTTAGGTCACAAACACACACACATATATCACTGGAGTCATCTCCGTGAAGACACATTACATGTCAACTGTCTCATTTGGCTCATGGAATCCCATCACGTTTCATAACCTGCAGGTACAGAGGACCTGTCACTTCACTTCTAAATACAAGTTATCACTTTTGATCAAAATCTGTTCATGCTTCACTGCAGGCAACAAGAAATACTTTCATTTATGCGTTTGGATTCATCTGTGAACATCTGGGTACGCTGCCCATGCTCCACTTAGAGAATTAGAGATGAAGCAAGACTCGGACTGAAGTTCTGTGAAACGTTTCTCTTCTGTGGCTGGTTCCTAATGCAATGTTTGTTTTATCAGAAGTCACACAATCACTCCGAGTCCCCGTGGACCCCAGCAGAGGGAAATAACTGTAATGAAGCACAAAGTGAGATGAAAGGGTCCGTGTTTGAATCTATTCACCACATCTGTTTAATGGTTCCCCCAAACCACACGAAACAGATCCTCAAACAAAACCAGAGAAACACACATTTTCACAGGAAAGGCAGCGTGAACGCTGAGGGCTGGCTAAAAGTGACCAAAGAAGCTGAAAGTGGGTTGTTTAGCCTAAGCCTAAAACACTAGCTGAAAGCTACGTGTAGCAAAAGACAAGCTAAAAGTTTAACTAGAAGCCAAACATAAAGCAAGTTTGCTGAAGCAGATTTCTAAGACAACTATTATTTTTAAACAAGTGAAGAGATTTTAATGTATTTCTATGATATAATTCTAAATTAAGTTCAATATTGTGAAAAGTACAAGTTACAATAACCTAAAGTCATAGCACCCATCACCCTGGATGAGCTGAATGTTTTGACTGGAATAGCTAAAGTATGCAGAAGTAATTCTACTGTAAAAACAATGCACCAATAAAGCAGGAAAACAGCAGCACTCACACCTTAATGAGTAAAACAAGCACAAGATGGGTGCAAAAAGTACAGAAAGGCATGCAATATGAAGAAGCAGAAGTCCAGTGAATTGTCAGGTTGTCCCATAATTTATATTCTCCTCAACTGTCTGTATCTGCTGTTTATCTGTAGCAGCTGTCAGCTCTGCTCTGGGGAAATGGCAACAAATGACAGGGATAGATTAGCAACCACAGGCCCGCTCCAGTTCAGTCAGTGGGCCATCCGTTGGTGCCCTTCTCCCTCCTGCTCCTTTACTCTTTGTCTCTTTTCACATAAACACTGTAAGATCCTCCATAGACGTCTTAGTCTGAGCTGTGACAACAGGAAAGAGACGAGTTCATTCCTGGTTTTACAAATCATCCCCTGGGACAGATTCAAAGCAGAAATGAGTCAAAGTTGACTTGAGTCTAATTTAACTTTATGAAGGACGAGTAGAAAATCATGTCAGAGATGTACAAAAAGTAGATCTTCTGTAAAAAACAGTGCTGATTCTGAGTGCAGCTGGACGTACAGTTCAGTCCTGACACACCGTGAGGCTTGTGGAGCTCAAGCCCCCACTCGTGGTGCAAGCACAGAGCTGCAGCTCTGACACCTAACAGGATGTTCAACCCTGAAAACTGCAGTGCAGAGATATCACACGCGTGTGCTGACATGATGCACATGAAACACGATCGCTGCACTGAGAACAGGACGTCAAACTGATCAGGTTTGATCACAGTCACACTGAATGCTGGTTCCACAAAAACCTGTATTTGAACAGGACTTTAGGGTCTCTCTTTGTTCAGATAATGTAATTTGGAGCTAAAAAATATCATTATTAATTACATGCTATAGCCTCTATTATTCTGCACAGATCAGACAAACATGGCTCTAACAGAGGAGGGTACTGGAAGCTTGACCTGTCCACAATAAAAACTAAAACATTCAATCCATCATCTTTCCTCGCTTCTTCCTTTTTTGGGTGGCGGGGGTCACAGGTGGTGCTCATATCCAGCAGTCACTGTGCAAGAGGGTGCTTCTCCAGGTACACCCTGGACAGGTCTCCAGTCCATCACAGAGACACGTAGAGACAAACAACCGTTCACTCTCTCACATCTAGGAACAATTTAGTTACCAATCAGTCTAACATGCATGTAACATTGATGCCAACTCTGCCGTTTTATTATTAATCTTGTCAACCTTTACTTAACCAGACAAATATGAGATCACAGATCTCTTTTGTGAGGGAGGCCTGGGTCTGAAGGCAGCCCAACATGTTTTTTGGACAGTGGGAGGAAACTGGAGTACCTGGAGACAACCCACATGAACACAGGGAACATGCAAACTGCACACAGAAAGAGCACAGATCCAAACCAGGGACTGAACCCACAACCTTTTTGCTGTGATGCAACAGTGCTAACCACTGAGCTGTCATGCTGCCTACACTGTTGCACACAGTGATGGATTTCTGCTGGAGGAATTCAAATCCTCATGGTCTGCTTTCTTGCACCATATCCTCAGAGTTGTGGCATAGAACAGCAAGCATGTTGAAATGTTACATTCATTCTGAGTTATAGCTTTTGAAAACTTTAATATTTTTCTGGATGTAAATTGTTTTTTTTCAGATGATTATTTCCTCTGGTATCAGATGCTGTGCAGCTGAAAGGATTTTTACTGAAACATTCTTACTTTTGGTGCATTTGTTATGATGCGTAACCATGGCAACAAGGTGTTTTTTAACAACCAGGAGCAGCTGATTAACATTTCAAAAGTTCAAATATCTCAACTACAGCCGCAAATCCCAAATGAGTTGAAAAAGGGAGGCGCCATGGATGAATTCCCGTCAACCTGGCAGCGGTTCTCGAGTACCTGACTGCCGAGATCCTGGAGCTGGTGGGAAACTTGGCTCATGACAACGGGAGGACCGGGATCATCCTTCAGCATCTTCAGTTGTCTGTCCATGGTGACAAGGAGCTCTGCAGACTGCTGTGAGGAGTGACCATCGCTCAGGGAGGAATTCTGCCTGGAATTAGGGCAGTCCTGCTGCCCAGGAGGACTGAGGCCCGTCGGATCTGGGTGGATGGTATCTGTGGCCAGATTCTTCGGATTTGCTGCAGGAGATCCTTCCTGCTCACAGCCATCAACATTTAACAACTCTTGAATGCAACCAGGATGATGAGCTACGACAATACTCAATTTCCCTTAGGGATTAAAAATGTATTTATGCAATTATAAGATGTTAGGGATCAGGACATAACAAAAATGATCTGGTCTTTACCAGGTTTGTAAATATTCTAGATCTAACCCAAAGTATACAACAGATTCCATCATGTTGTTATCCATTATAAAAAACCCAAAAGGCAATATAGTAAAAAATGTGTGTAGAAAACTGTTTACCCACAATGCACCACTCCATGCTTAGTGACAACCAAATGCAGTATATAAGCAAGTGTATCTGACAGAAGGAAAAACACGACAATAAAAACATAAATATATTTATTTTTGAAGCATGCCTAAAACTCCAGTACAGCCACCGAAAAGAGTTGAGCATTACACGGTAAAAAACAAACAAAAAATTAATATAACTTAGATTTTCTGTCAGCTGTTTGTGAGACATAAAGGTTGGTCCAGGTAATGCACAAAAGGCAAAAAGAATAAGCAAATTTAGCTAACCAGCTGAACACGTTTCACTTTCTTATAGCTTATATTGGGTTAATCTAAAGCACTTTGTCCGAACAACTAAAATGAACTGCTGTGTGTTAAAAGGAGCAGGAAGGTGGTGTGAAAAACATATGAGCTCGTCGAGCTACATAATCTGGTTACTCCAACAGTTTGAATGTAGTCCTGTCACATTCTGCCAGTGCACAAGCACGGGCTTTGTATACTAAATGTAAACATTAACTATCTAGTTTTAACTGAGTGGGTGAAGTGTTACATGTGGTGTGCCGTGACGAGGGCGACATGCAGAACCTTTAACGCTTCTTAACAATGAGCACACCGAGAAGCAGCCCAGCAGCTAGCAACGTGACTCCAGTTAGCAAAAACCATTTCTTCAGAGACTCCTGAAATCTCCTCCCTTCTGCCGCAGCGTCTTGCCCGTAAATCTCAGCAAAGCCGTCCTGGAAACAAAAACGACAAAGGGAGTCAATTTAAACAGTAGACGGCGACTAAATCCAGAAGATAAATGTTACAACTTTGGAAAAAACTACAGCATTTTGTCTGTGATTGTTTACAAAATTCAAATAACTGTGTATATTAAATTTTGTCATTGAGAAAAAAAATAAAAAAATCACAGAGAAAGATGTAAGAAAAACATCTTGGCCATCGTATCTGGGCCAGCACACCTCCATCAGAGCAGCTTAAACATGGTTCACCTCCTCCCCGGCAGACTCACCCAGCCTCCATGGCTCTCAATCCACGGACTGATCTGCTCATCCAGGTAAACAGTCATCCAGTCTGCGATGCGGGAGACCAGCTCGCTCATGTTCCTCTCGACACACTGCACACACAGCACACCACCGAAGGCAAACAGGCCCACCACCCGCCCCCAGTTGATCCCATTTTTGAACAGCTCGTCCAACACGCTCTTGAAGCTGTGGTAAACTGTGTCAGGGGTGATATTGAGCTGCAGGGATAGATGACTAAAACTTTGCATATACAGATGTTCAAACTCATCTGCGGTGTCCTTCAGGGCTGATTTTACAGCTACTATGTCGCCACGAGATTCGTCCTTACTGGTGACCAGCAGGCCATTCGTGGCAGCTGAGTTTGGCTTCTCCGTCCTTTCACCAGCAACCTCCGACCTCAGCAGAGACTTTGAGTAGTTCCTCTGAGACAACTTATAGCTTATGTAGAAGTCCACCAGCTCTCTGTTGCTGTATGACATGTTTTTCCACACTTAAAACCTCAACACACAGCTGACTTAATCAGATATCATGTTTGACGCCATTCTTCAGTCTGTCACATGGATTCTTCTTACACTGCAGCAACAACAAGCAACAACAGACACAAAAACAAGGATGTTATTTTGACATGCATTTCTGTAGGCAAACATTTAAAACAATATAGGGCTGCATAGCATCCGTCACAGGACTCTAAACAAAAACTTGCTTAAACAACCCTGGGTGCATTTTCCCAGTTCATCACACACGTTTTAACAATGACTTTGCACAATTTGTATGAATTGTGCAGACTTAAATTTGTGCTCAATCACACACTCCAGCTGAACAAAAAGCTGACTGGACTGATCGATCATGTAAACTGTGGCAGACTTTTAAAAATACATTAGCATTAGCTGCTGTTCACTGTTAGGTCCAATGTAACACTTGATCATTATGAAGTATTTCGTACCAGATCTCTGCGTGTAGGCGCCAACTTTCCATCGCTGATAGCTCCAGATACAAGTTGCGTAGTTTCAGACTAACGGGGTTAGCATCACATGCTAACTAGCTGCTAAAACTGTCCACAAGAAACGGACCAAAAAGTGCAAAATTACAAGCCAGATTCTGATATATCATTTATCTGTGACTGTTATACTTACAGATGCTATAAAGTTTTAATTCCAGGTTAGTGCGCAGCTATAAAGATAACAGGAGACGCAGATTGAGCTCCAAGCACAATATATACATTTTTGCAGCAATACTCCAGTCCAGGTGGCCCGCGCCGCTTCGTGACGCATACTGGCCAATAGTGTTACGAATTCTGACGCAGGGCCCGCCCCCTGCACCAATCAGCGGCTGGGAGACACCGGAAATAAGGAGGCCACACATAACTGAGTCAATAAACGCGCATTTCTTCATTTGGACACGTTTACTAACATAACCAGGCTTTCGCGCATTTGCTTTAAATACTCAACCATTAAGTTTTTTTTTTTTTTTTATAAATAACTGAGCTGCATTTTGAAGCACGTATTTTTAGAACGTAGTTTTTTTTAAATATATATTTATACTTTTTTTTTTTTAATATATATTTATACTGTGTCAACTTGTACTGTAAAATGTTTTACAAAAATTGAAAATCAAGAATGATCTGTGAAAATGTGGGCATATCGGTTGTTACCTACTTTTTCTCTGCTGCTATAAAAACAGAAAAACGTGCTAACCACGTTTCTACCTCGTACCTACACATGTACTAATATGTCTCTAGTCTTGTCTCAATTGTCTGGATTAGGTTAATGTCTTTTTGCATTTATTAATCAGTTTGCATTTGTTCTGTTGTGTATCTGCACTGTGGGTAAGTTTAATTTCTATATGTACTTGTATGCAGTTGAAATTACAACAAAACCTCTGACCTACATCTACTCGCAATTTCCATTTATGTTAGCATGTTTAAAAAAATATATATATACATATATGCATGTATATACACACACATTTATATATATATATACATACATACACACACATACTGGTATACACACACATATTTGTGTGTGTGCATATTTTAAAGACTAAAATCTTTAACCAAAACTTCAAATTAGATTTTTCACTTCTGATTATTGTAATTTTATTGCATTTGTGTCTGTCTTGTGGGTTGGGGGCAAAAATAATACTTTATTATCTAGGCTTACATTTTCACAACATTTGGCACTAACTGTTTTTTCTTCTTCTTCAAAAGACAGTAAAGACTTAATCCCATAAGCTTTTTATGAAGTGTTTTATTCAAATGTGTAGATAAAACTTTTGACATATTTTACACCATCTAAATCAGGAAAGGAAAACCAAAACTAGTCACATGTGAGAAGGAAATACAGTATGAAAGTAGGTAAACTAACAACCACTTCATAAAATGTGGTCATTCATCATCAAAAAAAAAAAAAAAAATGCAAAGAAACTAACAAAACATAAATGTATACAACAGAAAGGCCTAGACATATGCATTGCCACATATAAAAAGCACTATAATGTAACTGTTTTTCATTCGCATCAAGAGTATTTGGATGTGCAGCATTAAAAACTGAAATTTTGGTGACTCTTGGTATACAGTACCACTAAATAGTTGGCCAAGTTGGAACCATCTGTGGATCAGTACTTAATCAGTCTTAAACTGTTTCCTTTAAAACTTAACCAAAGACTGAGAAGAACCCAGTTGTTGGCAGCGAACTAACATGATGTCGAGCAGACAATTTAATTCCCATCCTGCTAAAAGCTCTTCTATTCTGAAGAATCTTCTGTGTCCACATGTTGAGTTTCTTCTGTCAGGTTTTCTTGGTCTCTGAACTCCTCATCCTCAGGTGGAGTCTCCGTTTCAAAAGTCATGGAGACTATTTCTTTCTCATCCTGCAAAGAGCTGTTTTCTGCTAAACAGTCTTCTATATCGGAGACTATTTCTTTCTCATCCTGCAAAGAGCTGTTTTCTGCTAAACAGTCTTCTATATCCTCAAAATCTTTTTCTTCAATCAGGTTCTCTTGGTGGTAGGACTCCAGGTTCTCTGGTGGTGTCTCTGTTCCAAAGGTCATGCAGACAATTTCTTTTTCATCTAGCAAAGAGCTATTTTCTGTCAAAGG